GCTCAGAATTTCTTGCTCGAGCTCGAAGCTCAGCGGACGTCGCGTCGGAGAGGCGACGCGCTACTATTCTAATGACGCAGACAATATGTGTAAATTCGATTCCTCTCGGATCGATGACACCTTGGGTCAGTGATCAATTTCTCGAACACTCTGACCAGACGAAGGAGTCACTAAGGAGCTTACATGGGAGTGAGCTCTGAAGCACACGGTTCGTAGGTGGGTCCCTTCTCGGCCACTCTGTGTAGTGGAACTTTCTGGGGTGGGAGTGGAGGAGCTTCTCCCACTCCAACTCTCGATGATGCAAAATGAGTCGAAACACACTTGATCGACCCTAGGCTTAATAATACCCGTCATAAAAATCTTTGATGTCGCGTCGTAAATGCCTCGGCTGAACTCTTGTCCCACGAGACGCGAGGAGTGCCCTAGTTTGGAGCCAAATCGAAAGATCTTCTCGAAAACCATGTCATACTCGCTAAGGAGCAGTGTTCAATGGAATCATTCTGTTCGAACCGAGCCGGAGTGATCTCCGCAGAAGACACGGACGTGCCGGCGTGCTCGCTCCCGTACTTAACACTTCGCTCGATTTCTCTTCTGACACTCCTGATTGTGTGCTCGGTCTATAAGGAAGCTTCATGTAGATATTCGCTACAGGCAGCGGCTGAGCGGACGCGAAGAAGATCTGCTCCCGAGCTCGACCAGGATCACCGTATTGATCTACTCGGAGGGTTGAGCACAATCGCTCAAACCTTCGGCCGAATACGAAGCTCATCAGCCAATTCACGCTAGGGCTGCTGCAAGATAACTAGACTCAATTTCGTGATTAGGTGACTGGACGTTGCGTGAAAATTTGCGCGAAATCCTCACTGGAGTATCGCGTCATGGACTTCAGTAATCGTGGAAGCCTTATCCACTTCTCGGCGATACCATGACTTGTTCTTCTTCAATGGACACGTATGTACATGTCTGTGTTCATCGCCATCATTTACGGCAACGTCGACTCCGATCATGGACTCGATATCTGGAAATTCTGATTCTGGTTTCGACGGAGTCGCTAGTATCTGGATCGCTGTCAGCCGTTTGCATCCATGACAAGGATATGCGGGAGGATGTTCGGATCCCCGCACGGGAGATCAGAAGCTCGATGGGCAAGTCCACGAGTCATCGTCCTGGAAGCACCAGAGAAATGGACGCCGCAGCGTTCCGAGATATGGCGTAGTTCACGCGGTAGCCCATCAACGACAAATCGGTTTTGCCTCCAAGGGCTTCTCGAGGATTGTCTGGTGGAAACTTGGGCAGACTCGCGTCGGACGGATGGAATATACGACGGTGCAACGATCCGCGACAGTCGCTGAGGCTAATCTATGGCTCCCCGAGGCGTTGCCGGTTCGTGTCACATCATCAATCGCTCATCTATCATCTATCGTTCGGTGAGCTTCACTCATTCGATGCGGATGCAGCCCGTCCTTTCTGCATTTTCCCTCGTCGCTACGGAATGACCGAATCTGGCGTGTTAGATGCTTTTACTCAGAGTGCTCGACACAGGGCATTGAGAAATCGGGGACATCCGTTCGGAACCGACGGGCGAATCTATCGCCGCGTTGAAAGCTCCTGATCGAAAACGATCGGACTCCTCCGTGAGAATTCTTCGAAGTCTATCCCGATGGCAACTCAGGAAACGCAATTAGCTAGACTGCTACGCTGTGTCCAGAGGCCGATCGTACCACATAGCTAACGACACGAATGCTCCGCAAGTTTCGGCAGGATTTCGGAAACCATTCCAACACGACAGCCGAATTCTGATCGGAAATTCGCCGGATGGTCGACGGACGGAGCGCGCGCTCACGAACAGCAGCGCCGTCCACAGGCTGGCGATAGATGATTCAGACCGCTCTTCAGAGACGAAGCTCCGAGCGCGGGTCATACGACTTCTTCGCCTCGAATCGCCATGGACTGCGACGTTCTGAGACAAAAAAATCGGTCCAGCTTGCCGTGAGCCTGCGGTGTGGAGCCCTCTTATCGTGGTTGGACGGCTCAGGCGCGAACTCATGACCGGTGTCACTACTCCGGAGCTCGTACGTCAGCGAGTTTGTCTCTTTTTCTCCGGTCAGCAGCGGCTATTACATCGGGAAACGTGGACTAGACGTTTCTTCTTCTTCTGGTAGCTCAATTATCTATTCTCTCCGCGGAGGGAGAACTCGCTGAAAGTCAAGAAAGTTTGTCATACGGATGAGAAGTAGCCGATCCGAGCAGCTGGAACTCACTCGCCCGGGCGTGTGGTGCGCAGGCTCGAAAACTCTTGTTACCGGAACCGAGGCCAATCGTCTACCGATGGAACGGCCCTCGACGGCTCACCAGCGAGTGGGACAATATTAACGCTCAGAGAGCGAGCCTGTGTGGAGACGACAGAGGGCACAGTCGTTTGAGGGGAGATATGTTGAGTGGGTAGACGGGCCAGTGAAACGCTTGGAGAATATTATTTATAGCTCACAAGTTATCGTCGTTCACGTCCCAGATGGCGGCTCAGTCATCAATTTCACCTCAGTCGCTCCCTGTTCTTCTGACGGGCTGCGAACCAATGCGACGATGTGAGGATTTCTCGCCTCGTCTCCGCCATTCTTTACAATCGAACCGAAATCGATAGAGCTGTAATTTAAGCATGAGGAAAGTTCTCATTCACTTCATTCGGTCGCTCTCGCTGTCGAGGATACGTCCAAGTTCACGCGCGCACCGCTCGGCCGGGCTTCTTGGCACGCGCCGCGGGAGCCCGCATCTTATGAGGAGCTCGTATAACTAACTACAGAGTGCAGGAATGGAGCGACCGACGATGCGGCGGAAGAAGAGTACGGTGGCGTTAAACGGCGTTCCCCCTCCCCCCGCTCGTGTCATGGAGAGGGGAGCGAGAAACGGAGCAAGCACACTAGAAAACTTAAGAGGGGGATATCGTGGCGGAGGGGACGGTTGGCTCGCTCGCAGCTCCGTGCGCTCGTGCATCCGCGCTCCGTCGCTGTTCGCTTCGTACGCGTCTGGCCCGACTTGTTCGTTTATCTGTTGGGAACAGGAGGCCCCCGGAGACGCGGCCATCCGGCCAGCAAGCATAATATGAGCTCGCTCCCCTCTCCGCCCCCTTTCGGCCTTCAACAACGTATAGCCTTATCTTGAAACGCCTTTCAACAAGCCGTCCAGAGCGGTCGAGGCGACAGGAACGGGGTGGCGTTGGCGGCCGAAAGGGGAACAAGTAGCAAAGCATCTACGGATTCGGGCAAAAGCTTCTCCCTCTGCAGTGCCGCTCGACCTACTGGTAATGTTAAAGTTGAATTAAGTTGAGGCGGTCGTTCGGACCGCATGGCCATATTCTAGTTCGAGGAAACCATGGAGACCATCGTGGACCTCAAAACTTTTTCCCTGGCCTCACCGTAGAAAGCCATAAATTTCTAGGGAGATAATTCTCCCCAAAACAGCGTTGTGCAATCACGCCGCCATAGCGCCGTCGAGTTCATCACACGTAGCGAAAGTTTCAGAGCACATACTTCCACGGTGTTGAATGCGCCTGTCGGTGTCCTGTGCTCATGAGGCCTTCTGAGGCTGTTGAATTTATCTCTACAGAGCGCCGAGAATCGCCGCAGAAATTTTCCTCGAGATCATCATGCGATAACTCTACGGCTGTTTTCAGAAAAGCCAGCCTATTTTTCACGTGAGCTATCGGTGTAAGCTGCCTGGTTTAAGGCGACGCCCAAGGAGAGGAATATCTCGTCAAAATTCCGAACTCGTTCTGAAGCGATTCCAAGCATCGCCGTGCATGTAAGCATGACTTCGGATGAAGCATCCCGAGCAAGGTCTCGGCACTCCTCATCTCCCTAACTTTCTGGGTCCTTACGCCGGGGCCGGGGCACGGACAACTCATTGCCGAAAACTGAACGCCGGAACCTCATCGATCTTGTTCATGCAAAATATTCGAGTTGTTTTCGAAGTACTCTCTAAGCTCGAATTTGCGCTTTGTCTTCGAATTCGACTTCCAGGGCTCTTGGAGTCTTGGCCTTGTCCGAGACATTGCCATTGAAATCTGGAGCGGCTCTCCGCCAAGAGCCAATTATCCATGATCCGACATTTGTTCTGGCGAAGCCTTCGCGATTGACTGTGAGCGGCGGTATACAGAGCTAATGGGATGTCGCAAATCGACAATGTTGATGGGGTACAAGTTTTCGCCTCTTTCTCTTCCGTCCCGACTTTGATACCATCTCGCGGTACTCCAACGGGGCGCACATGTGGGTAAAAGCAGCATCCGACGAAGCCGGCCTTTTCGTGAGGGGTTGAAAGACGGAGAGGGCACGGAACTCAGATCAGCATGATGTCAAATGACCTGGATCAGAATTTGCCCATACACATCATGTTAGCGCGGTGAAGTTCCGGGGCTGGTATCGTTCTGACCAGATGAGTTTTTGGCAAGGAGTTACCTCGGGCCGAGGTTCGATGTCTGGGCGTTGAGTTGCCTACCGCTGAAAGCGCGACCACGAACCGTGAGAATCGGTCGCTCCTCCATAAAATGCCTCACAAGCCAGGGATCTCGCACTAGATCCCAATATCTACAAGGCTGAAAATCGTTCTTGACCAGCGAGAAATCGCCGCAGTTTCTCTTGCCGTAGAAATGAATGCAGCCCCAAGATTTATTATGAAGTATTCCCGGAGCCCGACCGGCTGATTCGCCCCAGCGGAAAGCTGGGGCTGATATTATTGCCTTGGGTCTCTCATAGTTTGCAGAGCTGTAACCTCAACACCGGCGGTCGACCCTCCGCTGAGCCCTGCTGAGATTACCATATAAAGATCAGGTGCTTGATGGACCATTACACGAATCGAATTAGACGTTGGCCGCGCAGCAGACATTGCTGACTGGAGTGCCCATGCCGCTTTTTATATTCAGTAACATCAAAAGGATTGGCGAACCATTCCCTGTCCGACGTGAGCGAAAGCAGTCCGCTCCGACGCGAACCGTCGAGCGCGAAACACTAGTACTATCATAAAAGAGAGCACTACGACTAACGACGTATTGTTAGTGCAAGTCAAACGAATAGTAACCGCCTGGGAATGACCGAGAGTGCGGAGCGAAGAGGGCCGAGCTCGTGGTTGGAAGAGTTCAGCGATAACCAGTCGACTCAGGATTAAGTCTTCACTTAGTATTCCAGCTCGGAGGGGAAGCTGACGCTATTATGCATCCATTGGCGCACGGCAGCGAGAAGATGTCTCACAGAAGTTTCCATCGATAAAATCTTTGTGCACTCGTACATATAGGGATTCTCCCACAATTAAAACACATTTAGTTTCCCTTCGAGTACGAGAAGCTTCAATTCTGCCCGAGCGAATTTCCCACTGTCGGTTTTCGGCAAGCTCTCGGTGAAATGGAGTCCTCCGTAGAGATGCTTATAAACGGCGAATTCATCTGCGGAAAATCGAACACGATTCTAAGGCAAGCTCCGCTCGCAGAAACATCTCCCTCGGAACACAGGCGACTGATGGTTCAGCCGAGCATTCGAACCTTTGATCATATTCTGAAGTTCTTCTCTCAGTTCTTCTGTCGCTTCGTACCCTCCATCGAGAACCGTGTACGCAGTCGGAGCTTCTCCGTAAATCTCGTCAGGGACTCCGATGACAACTATCTCTTTGATAGCGTCGTGTTGCATGAGGAAATCCTCCAGCTCAGCTGGTGCCAACTGGTTGTCCATGCACTTGATCATTTGCTTCAATCTCTCCAAGATGTAGAATTGACCTTGGTCGTCGCAATAGCCGTAGTCACCTACATGGCAAGTGAGTAATGAGAGAACACTCCGTTCTGCTGGTCCGGGGCAGGAAGATTCCAGCTTTGGAACGCGGCCAACAGACCTGTTAGGAGAAAACCGTCCTCGATGAATATTGCAGCACTTGCTTCGGGGTTTTTGTCATATGCCTTCATCACGGAATCGCCCCGAATCGCTAGTTCTCCCTGAGGACGAGATCAGTCGAGAATTTCAATTAGAAAACTGATCGTCACAAGAACCAACGTGAGGAGATCTCCATACGCGACGCGGGGTTCCGAATGACAGTTCGATACGCGCTGCATGCTTCACCTTTTCGAATGGTGGCAATGCTGTTCTTGTAGACACATCCAATATTCTCATTTCCGTATTGGGGAAGGGTCTCCCAATCGAGGTCACAGTGAGTTTGTTCTCATCGGTCATGGCGGCCAAAAGCGTTTCAGACATACCGAATACTGTGGGAATCATATTCGTTGATCGGCTACATTGGGAGCGATATAATCCGCCGACTCAAGATCGCGACGCGGGGTGTCGGAAAACTTACGAATCCGATAACTCGTGAGGTCCAGAAGCTGAATGAGTGCTTCTGACAACGATACCGCAACGACGCTTCCTCCCGCTGTAACATGCTTCAACGATCTGCAGGTTCCGGGATTCGCTCTCATCACCTCGATCACTTTTCTCAAGACGACGGGGAATACCATCACGCTCGAAATCTATGGATTAGAATCGTTCGATTATGATGCAGCGGCCTTGTCGGTCGAAGATGTTCTCTGCTCACGCGAGGAGATAAGGATCAATCTTCCGGTTTAGTCATTGCAGGATGGGAAAAAAATCCCCCTCCGGTATTCACCTGATGTCGTTCGCAGATCCCTACGAAATCGTCAGCATCGGGGTTCGCGTTTGCGATGACGGAGACAGCACCCGTTGCAACAGCCGCCGGCAGCAGAACCGCGCCAGATATATGACTGCTGGGACACCACTGGAGAACTACGTCTGTACTTCGGATCAATTTGGCGCCTTCATCCCTGATATTGTCAGATTTCGAACTTCTAGAGGCTAGAAACTACATAGGATTGTGGGACCTTGAGAGTGTAGGTGTGTGCAGTATAAACTGGATAACATGACATCACCTGATCTAGGTCAAAAACTGGTAATATGATCAAGCTTATACTGTACTTCACCGTGCACTACTCGTTAAGAAGACTCATCCAGGAAAGAGCAAACGCTTCGATATCTCCTGAACTATAATATGCCTAATGGGTATTTCCGGGTCAGAGAAATTCTATCGAAGTCGAACTTACCCACTACATTCGAACTGCGCCTGAAGAGAGAAGTGCGTATGCAGCACACCTTTGGGTAGACCCGTGGTTCCTGACGTGAACGCGATCAGGATGCAGTCCTCGCGCGGCTCGACATCGTCCGGGGGCTCGAAGTTGAAACTACAAAGCATAGAAGTACTCTGCTCGTTCTCGACTTTCTGACTGACTTCAAATCTGGAGGGATAGGGAGATCCAGCGCCTGATTGATCTTTGCACTCTGGATTATGCCAACGGCTCGGCACACACCGTTCGGAGAGGATGCCCTTCATAGTCATCACATCATCGTATCCTTCCGGAGCCTTGTGCATATCAGCGAAGATCACCATCTCAACGCCGGCTGATTGCTTAGAAACCTCCATGGCGGTTTCATATGCATGACTATCGGTGATGATAAATTTAACATCCGACATTTCACACTGGTACAGCAACTCTCCTGGAAGACGAGGACTCACGACTGTCTACATGGGCCTGACTCCGGAGGGAGAGCGTCGGGCGTTGATAGCCCCGTCGTCAAGAATTCGGACTCACGAATCGTAAGGCTTGTTTTGCAGAGAACCACGGTCGCATTCACGAACTGCACAGCTAAGTGAGCGACGAAGAGGTCAATGGAGTTATTGCCGTGCAAGGCGACACGATCTCGAGGCTGCACCCCGAAGGACTGGAGCGCACCAGCAAAGTTTTCTATTTTCTCCAAGATCTCGAGGAACGTCAGGGGATGATCCGATTTCACGTCGACCTAGAAAATAACTCGACGCTCTCTGGACCGATATCGTTCCTCAGATCTACAATATATGAGAGCAAGGACGAGAGCGCCCCTGCCCCTCCCGTTGACGAGGACCTACCATGGCCTTCTTTACACCGAAACGAAAGCATTTCTCCCGGAAGTATTCGTGGTGTGGTCGAGCAGGAACCTCGATTCTCTTTGTCGGCATCGCCAGCGTCTCGTCCGTGTCTGCAGGATTGGTTACTTCGACCTGACCACAGAAAACGCCACGAAAAAATGACCCAATCATAATTCCTCCGAAGACCTCCAACAAACCATCGATGTTCTTTCCTTTCTGTGGGCTACCTCCTTCCCTCAGCCGGAGCGGAGCCGATTTTTCTGGAGCGAAATTGTGTTTGAGCAGCGAACACTGAGGCAAGAATGAATGTACACAATCACGGATGAATCTGGCTGAACGAGCTCCATTCCACTTAGTGCCGACTAACTTTGCGCGGAATCGCCGAGCCGAATGTCCACATCTTTTGCGAGCGCCCTCAAATAGCGGGTAACTCGGAGTCGAGCATGCTCGCACTTATCGCCAGCGAGTCCACCTAATCGATTCGTGGCAATAAGTGACGTTTCGAACGATCCCTGACAGTCTCATGTAATGAATGAACAGATACCAAGCAGATGCAAATGAACTCCATGATAGTGTATGTTCCGGATGCATTGTTCCGTCCGGAAACTCGGGGCATGAGAAGCTGCCTGCGAAATCTTGAGACGGAAACATCGAGGTCTCAATTTTCGGATGATCGAAAGAGTCAGAGCTGCCTATCAAGTGAGAACGGTTTCTAACCACAACGAATCTGTCAAAATGATTCAGAATGCAGCTGGCAATACCTAGAGAATGACGAGCTTTGTTCAGAGCATGCGGATTGCGAATTTCTCTCCTCTTTTAGAATAGTCGATACGCGAGCAGCGCTTCCCGACCATCGTCGCCCTCTGCGGCACGAGCAGCAGAAGTTTGGACACATCTGAACGAACACAATCGAAACCAAGAATGGCTCAAAATATCGCATGAGAGCTACCATTAAGGACTCGGTTCTGAATTAATTTTCAATTGATGATTGTACGATCCCGCCGTCGTTGTTCGAGTTGAGCTGTCGACAACCCGTGAATGAATTGGAATATGCCGAAGCGCACATGCTCTAGACAGAGTTTCCTAACCAGTTGCGCAAGCCGTCTGGTTCGCACAGCTTCGGTCGGAGCATAAGTGCCCAGTTTTCACACGCGCGTCTGCCCCCGAAATTATAATAGTTTCAAACTCCAGCGCAGCTTCACGATGCTGGCTTCACTCGCGCCCGAGACACTTTTCCCTTCGACAGCGGTTGGGTTGAGGCTGATGCGGAGCATGGCAAGTTTCCTCAACAGCGTGGATAGACAAGGAGAGTCCACATGATATCAGACTGAATAGATTAGATGAATCTTCGGCGATCGAGACGGGCCCAGAACGATGTACCGGAGCGCGTCCTCGAATCAGGGGATGCCGCGCTGACCATCTTACAACCCGTCCCTGAAGAAGCTGTATGATTATGGCTCGTCCGATAAAAGCAGCTTGCACGGTCGCAGTTGGACGCGAGCTCTCGTCCCGAACTGGCAGGGTACTGACCGGTTTGGAAAAGTGGAACCATTTCAAGTCCGAAATTGTTTGCTCATCGTTCGTTGGTGTTATCACCAGCTTGTTCCCCTCGCCCTTGTCCGTCCTTAGTCGTGAGAATGGTCGTTGAAATGCCTGCCGTCGAGGAGAAGTCAGTTTAAATTGGAGATGATGGAGAAATAGACCCTCTCGGTCAAGGAAGAGACCATGAGGTCCAACTTGCCGCTTTATGCTCGCTCCCAGCCTTTCCCTCGCAGTCTGCCCTCGGTTCGTCGACCAGCTCACATGGAGCCCGTGTCACTTCTACAAGCTCTCCCAACCAGGCAGACGCAGAGCGGACGGAGGAACAATGAGCCGCCCAACCAGCGATTACTCGTGCCAGTGATTCGTGAAAGAAAAATTGACGGAATGTAGCCGTGCCTCCGCCTCTCGTTCCGCTTTGAGATTTTCCAACTCCAGACCAATATTCATTCAGCAGCATAATTCATGCTTGTTCGACTGACTCGACAAGCGGCGGAAACATTGAGTTCGTCCAGAGGATCATCAATTTCCCAGCCGTCAATCAGATTCGGACACCGTCATTCATTCACGAGAGAATATCATCCATATACGATTCGAGCAAAACAAAGCGGGTGCCCCGCCGGTCGGAGTGACCGAAATCGATGCGCTTTCCGAACTCCCTCGTTCAATTCACTGGCGTGCTCATCTAGTATGCGCTCATCCATGAGTCGAGGAAGGGAGCACCGCCGCGACTGCTGACCTCAGCGATGCCGTTCTCCTCGGTGTCGTCGACGTTGCCGTTCTCTTGTGTCCTGGCACTTAATCCGAGTCGAGTCCCGAGCGAGTACGTGTTCTCAACTGCCTCGAGGCTGCTTCGCCTCTGCCGCATGAAGCTTTTAGCTGATGAACATTGCCGCTTCATATTGACAACGCGATGCGCTCACATACTCTTCCGAGACGAACAATCACTTGTCTTAATGGCGCTCTGCCTTTCCCTCGACGGTAAGCTAGCCCGTCTGCGCGGCAAACAGCCAGCGAGCAAGCATGGCCACGACGACAACGGCGTCGACGACTGCGCTCATTAAGGGGAGTTGTCACCATCAAGCAACCTTAGATTGTCTTGCATGCCTAGCTCTAATGATCACAATCACTATCGTGATAATGGTGGCAATCTGAGGCAATCGATCGGCGCGATGTTACAAGCTCATCGACACTGCCCGCTTCGTTGGAGCACATCTCGAATGAAAAACTCACAGCGAGCCTGGACCTCGATGCGTGTGAGCTGAACCTCAGATCGCGACTTCCCGATCCTCCTCCTCCACTTCCCACCGAAATACTGTCGTTGAACGTTTCCTGCCCTGACTTGATTTTGATATGATTATGACTATCTGGTGAGTCGCGCTCCGCTTCCGGATGAATTCAAGGCTCCCACGATAATAATTCTCCTCGCGGGCCCGATCGCCCGAAAATGAGAAAACGAATTTTTCTCCGCAGGTCCCCCCGATATTGAAATTCCCTGCTCCTCATGGTAATCCGAGCAGATTCCATCCAACAATGCATCGTGGCATTTTTGCTTTCCCCGATTTTCCTTGAAAATACATAACTCGTGACAGCTGCCTGTGATGTATCAGGCTACCGCGATGTACGCTTGCTCGCACGCACGCTCACCCACTCGCCTGGCCGCCTATGCCGTTGCTTCCCAAAGAGTAGCAGCGACGTCCGATATTGTCGGTCGTTTTTATTAAAGATGCTCCCTGGGATCTTGACATGAAAGAGAAGAAGCTTCCCGTCGGGACCGCTGAGGCCCGAGCGGCCGCTACGACCGCCCTCAAGAATCTTGCTCAACGTATCGAGGACGGGCAATAGCAAAACTCGAGACGCCATGCCCGGCGTACACTCGTGCCCTCGACCCCCCATGACGGACTTTGATAGGTCTTCCGATCGAGTTATGATACTTGAACTCGAGTACGAGCACGAACGAACCTACAACGGCTCCGTAGAAATGCATCGCTGTCGGCGTCGTCGGAAACGAATCCGGGGCCTTATCGATCCACTGAATCTCGAGAGTTTGAATCGTTGATGCTTTTTGTGTCCGTAGTCAATCATTCGGAAAGAGAGGCAATATTCGCAAAGACCAGCCCCGCCATCGGTTATCGTGCCAAATCAACCTCATTCTCGTCAGTTGCAATCCCCGAGATGGCGAGGAAGACTCGTGCCGATTTCGAGACCAAGGAGTGAAGCCCAGACTCCTCGGTCGTTAAGGAAGTCAATGCAGAGAGCTTTGAACAGCCCTCTGTACTAATGACAGGCTTTGGAGCAGCGATGGGTGGCATTTACAGTCGCTGTTCGAGCTCGTGCTAATGTTCTCAGTTGACTGCGAGATTTTTGCTTGTAGCTCGAGAGCCAATCATGGGGCGCCGAGTATTTCCCCCCCGTCGCCGTCGTGATCTTTCACCGCGTTAAGCAGAATCTTATCTGCTCGTTGTTCTCTTCCTCAAAGACTTAGTGCTCCTCAGAGAACCCTTACTAAGAGAATGAGAGCCAGTCGGCCAACCAACCAGCGAGCTAGCACCTCTATCTTTATGACTTATGACGGCGACCGTGCCTGCGTTCAGCGTCAAACGACCACTGATGCCATATCGTTGCTCGCTCGCTCGCCTGCCTGTAGACGGCCCACTTGAAATGCAGCGCATTCAACAGTGATTGAACTGCCACACATTTGAGGATGGGACCGCGGTCAGCCTCCACATCGACAGAATCCTTGATTCTACCTAGCGGCTTGATCCTATTCATCACCGTGGCCGCATCGGTCCATCTGTACCCGATGCGATTCGCGAAATTCACAGATTCAGTTGGTTTTTATTTTTGGGTGGTTTCCCCGATTCGCAAAATGTGGTGCGACGAAGTCGACTTCGGCGGTTCTACACATTCTCTCTCTGCATCGAAACATACAGGTTGCGAGGACCAACTCGCCCTCCAGAGAAGGAGTTTCTAATATTCGCTCTCTATACAAATAATAGATCATATGTTAATGTTAGGAGGCGAGCCAGCATCCAGTGCGTCCGCGCTGGGATCACCAGCACCGGGAACGACGGAACCCCCGCAACGTGGTTGCCTGGCGGCGAGGGCGCTGACTGCCGGGGGTGATTTGATGGAGCGAAGCTAGGAAATCGCACCCATCACGCATTTGAAGGCTTCGGCGATAGATTGCGGGAGGCGCAGATTCCTGAATTCGAGCACGAGGCTGGAATAGGTCAAACCTCCGAATTCACGGAATCGAGCTGTAAATAGAAAGCGCTGCGCTAGATTAAACAGCATGAGTCGGCCTGATTTTGCAGAATACAGATCGAACGTGTTTTCGAAAGTTCGACGCCCGAGTTTCGCTACGTTTGCCTCGTTTGTATCTTTGCACTCTGTGGTGTGAGAGAATCGGCACTAGAACTCGTTGAGGCCGGGCCGAAGCCTTGGCTCCGTAAAGAACATCACATGTCGAGAACTGGACTCGACTGTGAACCAACCCACGATCAATCTCTAGTGGAGCTCGTAGCGTGGTTCTCGCGATCGCGGAGAAGCCATCCGGGCCTTGATGCGAGACAGGAGGGTCACACTTTAGAGATACTTGTCCTTTCTTGAACCCAAACTGCAATCCGCGCAAAAAGCTCGGAAGGTATGGAAGTCGTTGCCGCAAGAACCTCGAGACAATATCCAACCCAAAGGAGCAGGACCCGGGGTCCCAGTGCGTCCCTTTCATCGAGCTCCGAAGTTTCCACGCCTCAATGCCGGCATTTCCGAAATTCGCCGGAATGTCGCGATCTAGTGAAGGTCATTCATAAGAGGATGGACACCGACACGGATATCCCTGTTCTCAGCCTAGAAGACTGA